GTCAAACACAATGTAAGACTTTATGTTAAAGTTTTGCAACAAAAATAACTGAAAGAATGTATGTGAAACCACAAATTGTCTAGCTACTTAATCCTATAATACTTTATAGACTGAAGTAATAAGCAGTGATATATAATGAAGAATTAGAATTCAGATAATTGAGTTTTTATAATATTTTATAATATTTAAATATATATTTATTGATGGCACATCACTAGATAATACCAACAACACTGGTTTAGATCTTTTGTAAATCTCTGTCATTAACTACTAACCTCAAAGAGAAAAATTAAGAAATTATTTATTCTGATTCAAACATGGGTGACCACACCTGAGAACCTAGGTTCAAGTTGTCTTGAATAATGTGGAATAATTTACAATGTGGAAGTGGTTACATTCACCTTCACAAAAGAAAATTGTGTTATTTTCCAAATGCATTGGTGGGAAATCGAGACAGACACGGAAAACTATCTTATGGGTTTTAGATATTATCTGAAGGCATTCTTGGATTTCCATTTGGCACAAACTAGTAGTATGTTAATTCACGCCAATGGTTTTTACCTTATAGTTGAAAGAATGTTAGTTCTTAATAGCAATGAATGGCTATTAAAGGAGCTTAATAATAATAACAACAACAACAATAATAATAATGTGACTCTAGACCTGTAACATCCAACTTCTCACAATCACTAAGTGCTCCTCATTTAACCAGCCCTGAATGTAGAATCTTTAACATAGTTGTGGTAGTTTTCCCCCCTCCCGGGAATTCAATTCACAATCTGTACATATGAATCACACATGAGATTGTATGATTCTATGAGAAATGTATGTCATTAATAATATTAAACTATTATCAGTGCATATTAATGTGACTCCTTTGTATCCATTTACTTACTACAGGCGTTCCATTGGCCAGGTCACAGATTCTTCATAAAATTATTATCATTGGCAAGTCTTGTTAGAGAGGTTCTTTACCGCTCAAGCACTGTAAACAATTTATCAGTCTAACAGTCGGTCTTTTATCAATAGTTTGGTTTCAGTGAATTAGAGAATTCCTTCCATCATCCTCTGACAGCTCCTACCTCTATGTCTACAAATGTGGCAGGATAAAAATAATTGCATGTTCAGAGCAAGAATCCTGGAAACGTTTCCAGAGTCTTACCTTGTTTTTTTTTTTTTTTTTTTTTTTTTTTAAATGACTTCAACTGAATTTTGAAAACCAGCACTTGATTTGAAATAAAAAAAAAGTTTCTTTGCGATGCTTTCTTTCTTTTTTCATCTATTAATATTCTGTTCACAAAGCCAACTTTGAGTATTCATGTTTTCTTCTAGGCATGATAATAAATAGTTCATGAATGCCCCATTTCTCTATATTTTAGTTTTCAATTTCTATAAAAAGTTTGTCTTAGCTAGCTGTTTGACAAACACTGTCAAATTCTGGTCTGCATCATGAAGGGAAACCCTCTCCCTTTGAGTACTGTGTTTAGTATTTCTTGTCCAGAGTAACAAGTTATTCTTTAGAGCTAGCAAAAAGCTATGTCTGTGGCTGTGCTGTCACTGTGGAAAAATATCTCTGGGGTCCTTCTCTAATTGCCCATCTGAGTTGGACACTATCTTGCCTTACATTCTTTCAATAGTTGGGAAAGTAAAGTGGATACATTGGAAGGACCAGGGAGAAGGGGGTGGTAGTGGAGGCAACACAAGAAGTGCACACGTGCACAGAGGCTAGAAGTCTTCCCGTCATATGTGACTGTAAACTGCAGGTCATGTAAGGCCAGCGAGGATTTGAGGTGGGAGCCTTGCCCAGATTCTGATTGATGTTTGGTCACTTTCGTCTCTGCTGTGGCTCTTAGTGGGAGTATTGCTTCCACCCCAGAGAATGTGGATGCATTTAGTCTTAATTAGGGTTACTATTGCTGCAATAAAACACCATGACCGAAATCACACTGAGAAAGAAAGGGTTTACTTGGCTTCCACTTCCGCTTCACAGTTCACCATTGGAAGAAGTCAGGATAAGAACTCTGGCAGTGCAGGAACCTGGAGGCAGGAACTGATGCAGAGGCCACGGCAGGGAGGGGAGTGCTGTTTACTGGCTTGCCTCTCTAGGCCAGCTCAGCCTGTTTTCTTATAAAATCCAAGGATAGCATCACCCACAATAGGCTGGGGCCTCTCCAATAATCACTAATCAAGAAAATACCTAGTAGGTCTAATCTTATGGAGGCATTTTCTTAATTGAGGTTCCCTATTTTCAGAGGCTTGTTTAAGTTGACATAAAACTCTTAATCCCAGTCTCTGTGGAGAATCAATGGAACATGTGAGAAACAGGCTATAATAAGGAGTATTCATATTAATAGACTGTGATGGAATATTGTGATAAATGGGAATTTTAGAATCCTGTCTCTTTCATCCTGAAGTATTCATCTTTAGGAAGATTCAATCTGTTCAGAGATAACAAACAAAATACCCTTAGGATTGACTGAATCACATTTTCCATGTGCTTTAAGATTCTTATGTTCCTATGCCTTTAGGTAAGGCATGTACTTTCTGGTTGTTACAGATTTTTGTCATTCCTTGCTGCTGTCTCTACCAGTAACTTTGTCATTCCTCTTTCTGTCCTGGTCCCCAAAGAGTTTACTCCTCCTCCATCTCTTAGATCATGGTACTCCCTTCCAAATAATGTTTTGTAGGTGACTATCTTATCCTACCTCATCAGAAATTACTACTTCACAGGGGTTTTCTCATTATATCTAAATGCAGGATTTCTTTATTAGCTGTCATTTAGAGTAAGAATTTATGTTTTGGATCTAACAAGAACAACAAAATAAAAATAAATCTATGGCTGTGCTAGGTCTATTGATATACAAAATTCCTTTGGGATTCTCCTTCAATTATCCCTCAATAGTTGAAAAGTAAGGTGAATAGAAAAAAAGAAGCATCATGAAGATGATAGAGTAGAGATAAAAACAAAGCTGTACACAGAGGAAAGACAGAAGTGCCGAGGCCTTTTATATAACTATAAATGGGAGGCCAGGTAAGGTCAGTGAGCATCTGAGGTACATATTTCTGTTCATCCATGAGTCTACTCTGTACTAGATCTTTCAGTAAATGCAGAAGTGTTGGATGGCATCTGTGGAATTTTATAGTTTAGTATGCAAGCCAAACACACAAGACTCCAGACTGGTAACATGGAACCTGCGCAACTATCACTGCATAGGGGCAGATTAGAAGGATCTACCGAGTTGTGACTTGTTTCAGTGGGGTCCATGTTTGCTGTTGACACTCATTTCTGTTCAGTTCATTGGAGCATTTCAATGGGGCACTCACAACACTAGAGTGGGACTCATTCTCCCTCATTCTCTTTCACTGATGACAAGTGGAAAGTATAGTTTGATGGAGCATCTACTCACAAGGGAATTACTGATTATAATGCTTGAATATATTACCTGCCATCTATTAAACACTCAGAATAACCCAATTTCATGCCAGAACATCTCGAACCCAAATGCTAAGGTCTGAGTGTTTTCTGAACACAAATTCTCTTTCATCTTATATCCTGCCTGAATGTCTCCATCATCACTGCTCAGTAGAAATTTCCTAAGGAATGTAATCTTAGACTTAAGGCTTATATTTTAAAAGTTTATAAAAAGCCTTTATTTAAAAAGTTAAATGGTGTGGGTAAAATTGGTTTTAATTTTTATTTACTATATATTGTATCATAATATACAAAATGCTATTCTTTAAACATTAAGTTATATGCAATGGGACATTTGTGCTTTTCAAAATGAGTCTTAAAATTGTGGTGGCTATTTTATGCTTAGGATATATCTTCCCTCAGACTAAACTCACTTCAAGTGTTCATATGCACATGTGTATTAGACACAACTACTCTAAAATGTCCTCAGAGATTCTCCAGCTATCTTGGAGCTTGCAAGTATATTAGGTAAGGACTAAAAATTATTTAGTTCACCATAATTTTACTTCTAAGATTTGTCATTTTCATCATTAAAGCAAAAATCATGAGCTGTACAGCAATTTGTCTTTTCCCCTTTCCATGTAAACATAGAAAATGCAGTATTTGTACATAAAGAGATCTGTTTGGTACACAAGAATGCCTGCTTAGATCTCTTTTCATGACTCCTTGCAGAAAAGGCACCTTGAGCTTTCCCAAACAAGCCCTCAGGTCCCTCCCCCCCCTTTTTTTAGTGAAGGAATTGTTACCAAAAGCCTCTGGTGAATTCAGGGTCACAAAGTTTGATCTAAGTTTGGGGATAATATCTTCCAGGTCCATGATGTGCTTAAGAGCTTTGCATTCCTGCCATGTATTCCCCTAATCATGTACTCTCAGCCCTTACTCATACACAGAGCATGGACCTGTTTACTCCAGTCCAAACCGGCAAGTGCTGTATAGCTCCATTATAAACGACATTGGAAAGAGTCTTTTGGCTTCTTTTAAAAGATGGCTCTTGATTCCTAAATCTGTGCTCTTGGCAGGCAAAATACTTAAAAATCTCTTCATTCAACCTCGTAGTTTTAGAATCTTTGGATGTGTCAGTAATGGCTGTGCTAACAAGTAAGTCGCTAACTCTATCTCCCACTGATACAGTTTTATTTAGCTATTCTCCTTCATTCAATCGCCCCAAACGAGTTATAAGTGAGAGCACTGAGGAGAGCGAGTGCTCTACATGTGAGCTTACAGGGATACTGTTAGAGCAAAGCCATTGTCCGCGATGCAAATATGTAAACTCATGGAATCCACATCTTCACGAATTAGGAAACTAAGGCACAGAAATGCCAAGTGGCTTGCCTTACCACCTACAGCTAGTGAGTGGTTGGGGGATCCAGGATCCTGAGGTTGAGCTCCTGGCCACTCTGCCCACAACAGACACTGAACATAAGGCTATCCATAATTTTCCTGTCTGCAGTTTTTCTATGCCCTTCCAAGAAAGCCGAAAAAGAACAGAGGATCCCATTACTGCATGGAACACACAGGAAATATTTTATTAATGTCCAAATGGAGAAAATGGTAGAGTAAAAAAAAAAAAAAATCTCAGTAGAAATCCATGACTCTCCTCAGAGAGCCCACCCTGGCATTCATGGCGCCCCAGTCGTGGTAGCGCCGGTACTCCCCGGGCCTCAACAGGTACTGCCGCCCCCGGTAGTTGGGCATCTCGTAGAGGACCCAGCAGCCCTCCAGCACGTGCAAGGAGTGGAAGTCACTGAAGTGGAAGCGGTCCTGGAGGTGGGAGCAGTCATCGGTGATCTCCACCATCTGACCTCTGCAGTCCTCGCGCTCATAGATCCTGATCCTGTGAGAGCTGGACTGTGTGACACGCAGAGTAGACAAAAGGAATGTCAGAAAACCTGACCTGTCACACCGCAGAACTCATCAAGAACCACCACCCCCCCCCCCCCCAGCCATTTCTGTTAAGTGGGAAAACTGAAAATCAGTTCTCACAGCCTGTTCTGTTATGGGTCTGTCTTAGATCTGTCTTAGATTTCAAATGTCAAAGGTTTGCTGCATTTTCCCGAATCCTAGAGAATCCCTGTAAGGAAGGTAGCACCTACCCCATCCCTCTGCTCAAAGGATAACTAGATGAGGGAGAAGATAAGATTGAGGCCAGAGGAATGTAGGAATGGACTCACGTGAGGGATGAGGCGGCAGGAACGGACAGAGTCACTGAGGCCCATCCACTGCTGGTAGTCAGGGTAGTCCCCACGCCTCAGGAAGTACTGGCAGCCTGTGAAGTTGGGCTGCTCATAGAGCATCCAGCAGCCACTGTCCACGCGCACAGAGTTGCAGCGGCTGAAGTAGGGCTGCAGGTTGGAGTGGTCGCTGCTGCACTCATAGTGGCGGCCCTGGAAGCCGCGGTCCTCATAGAAGGTGATCTGTAAGGCAAGGCAGGGCTCAGAGACCTGATGTGGCATGGACCCGAGGGCAGGACCCTCCCCGGCCCTGGGTGCTCTGGGCTCACCTTCCCCATGGCTGGTGGAGTCGGTTCGGATGGGATGGTGCTGTTGGGTGTGTATGGCTGGGACCAGTGTCTATATAGCAGGAGGTCTGCTGCGTTTGCAGGAACAGCACAAAAGAGGCACGTGGTGGGACTGGGCACTTTCTGTCTCTCCTTTCTATATAATGACTGTGGGGGAGGTGTGGGTTATTGTATGTTTTCCCTTAGCCTCTCCAGAGCTTTCGAATGGATGACGAATCATTGACCTGGTTAAAAGGGTCACTTGGTGCAGCTCGGGTCTTTAAATGATGCCTATGTGGGAAACTGAAATTGAGTAAAGATGCTCAACTAGCTAACCATTGTAATTAAATGGTTTATTAGCCTTTTATAAATATCTGATCAAGGGCAATTTGAATAACTATGCATGATAGTAATGGGATCTGCTGTCCCAAGGAGCTTGAGGCTCTTAGGCTGGAGAACTGCTGGAAGTGTGGCATGAGACGATGGTTGTCCCTTCTCCACATGGTGCTCCAAGTGGGATGGAGATCACATAACTAATGGAAGGTAGGTGACAGAAGGCCAGACTCCAGGGAAGTCTGATTTAACATGATTTCAGCTCTGCTCCCTGGAACAGGGACCTGACCAGGGATTTCTAGATGCAAGTGAACATACAAATACAACATTTGAAATGTCAGGTTTGCAGTATCTCTGTCTTTTCTGCTGTTTCAGGTCTGGGAAAGTTCTGCTAGCTGTGTGGTTTAGGCTCTGAATCCCAGGCTGGTCTCTTCTCCCTACCCGAGTCATGCTCATCTTCCCTAGTAAACCTAGGTGCTCCAACCACACTGTGCTAGTGTAGTATTCCAGGCTGAAAGCACTGTGGGGACTTCTGTGCTCAATGTGGGTATTTAGCAGGCTCCAGCCTCTATCCACTCACACCTACAGGGCATTCCCATACTCACTTCCCAAGTCATAACAACCCTTCATGAGTTGAGTCTCTGCTGAGTGTACCCACAGAGCCGGATGCAAAGTTCATCTTTGACATAAATAGTCTTCTAGAAGTACTGGCTTGTGGTTGATCCATATTTAGTGCTAGTTTAACATTTCTGCCCTCAGTTCTCTATTGCATGAGTGAGTAAGTTTAAGGAACTGAAGAAAAACCTCAAAAGTAACCAAATGCTTAAGCATGCCACTGGAGGAGAGCAGAGCACCTCATGTGTTTTCTATACAACCTGACTTGAAAACAATGTTTCAGTTACTAAATATTGCATATAAAAGAGAAACACATGAAAACCCTTGCTAAATATTGTGCTACTCATAATAATCTTCATAATATAAATACATTATCTACTAACTATAGTATGTAATGAAATTGTCCCCTTATGTATGTGTATTAGTTTCCTTGGACGGACAACAATTTCCTTAAAAAAAAGAGAAATCTATAGAGAAGAAAGTAGGCCTTGATTAGACAAAGTCTGAAAATTTTAGGTCATTACAGTGTTATGAGGACAACAAGAATAAGGGAAATACAGCCAGGAAGGGTCTGGGAAGCCAGGGATCAGGGCAGAGCCCCAGACACAGCTCAAGTGTGCTGGCACAGAGATACACCCAGGCAAGTGCCTTTTGGATACTTATATGGTCTGTTCCAAATCCCGATTTCAGTTCAGTGAGCTTTGTTAAAGGTTCCTAAATAGTTCTCTCTAGTCATTATTTGGATATGAATTAAGGCTTTACCGGCTTGTTTATTTTAGTAATCAGGGTGAGTGAATACTAGTTGTCATGTTGCTTTTGAATCTTCAACTGTACTGTCAATCTCCTAAATATGGAGCTTTGTGCTAAGCAGAATTCTTTTGATATAATTTTCCCAAGAGACTGATAGTAAATAGTGTCACTCTACACACTAGTTACTGACTTCCGCATGCACTGGAGGTTGAATGTGAGAGCCTCTTACAAGTTAAACAGTTGTTACTCATTAAGCTACAGATGCAGCACTCTACAGTTAGAAAGTATGGGGGAAGAGCCTTCTTCTTCTATATGATTGAAAGAAGACAGATAATATATGTGATATTCAGAAGGCAACCCCAGCAGAAATACAATGTGTTTTTATCCTTTCTTTCTCCTAAAATTTCAAAGAATTTAAGCCCATAAGCCTTTGGTCCATCATGGTGTTTGCATATTGGTTTATTTTCTGGGGGAGGAGATGCAGTGGCAGTGGGCAGTCCTTTAGAAAACAATACAGGATAAAATGAGCAGTTGAGTCTCTGTCAACTCAAAACCAACTGTACCTGTAGTATTATGGGATAAGATGGCCTCTTCTAGTATACAAATACATGTATATGCAGACAAAACATAAATGTATACATATTGAATAAATCTTTTATAAAAGTATATGTTGTACAACGAGATTCTGTGATTAGCTTTGTCTCATTAATAGACAACAGCAATTCCTTAACACTGATCACAGTAAAGTACCAAGGCTCTTAAAGGGAAGCCTTGGAATAAATACAAATCATTATTAGCAGGAATATTAATTATCTGAGGAAGGAAAGGCAGCTGTATCATCCACAAACGTCTTCAGATAAATCCATCTGATCTAATTTATTTAATATATGATGTTTTCTTTTAATTTGTAGCACTTATACCTATGGTAGAATATAGCGCAAAACAATTTCTTAGAAAATTAGTCTGACGCAGCACCTGTGCAGTGCAGGCTAAGAAAAAATTGCACAGAACACTTCTTACTCAGTCACATGGTAAAATAATCACTAAAGTAAATGACTTTTCAACCTTAAAGCATCAGAAAAAAGATGACAATGAAAATTATATGATATAGATTTGAGGCCATCCAGATCTAGATTTCATCTGTAATAATACAAAAATACATTTTCTGGCAATTGAACTTTAATTATAAAATGTGGGAATAAAATATTTGATTTAAGTCTAAGATTATTTTCTATTTAAAATTGTTAAACTTTGAAAGAAGTAAAGTATAAGACATCTTAAATATCTACTATATAAGAATTCAATGTCACCAAGATAAAATAAAAATAAAAAATATCTCTGGGAACATGTTTGCTTATTTTTATTTGTTATTAAAAATATTAGTCATTATATCTTTCTTTACCAAGTAGTCCACTACTGTATTGACCAAAATAAATCAATCAGGGCCTAAAGAAATAAAATACAAGCAAACAAATACTGCACAGAAGTCATGACTCATGCCCTGCTCCCCGTTTCTTCATTGTCATCCTTTTGGCAAACTATACTAGGAAAATCTATGGCTATTATTGGCCTTCAGGAACTGTTTGTAAAAGCCTTTCAAAAGCAATGCTAAGTTAAATCAAATTACTCACAGCAAGCAAACAACAACAGCACCAAACAAAACTCTTGGCTTCTTTTTCTAAGAAAGAAAACGAAATAGAGTTACTATCTTAAAAAACAGCAGATTTTCATATACTATGGGAATATCAGTATAAAATATCATCTTTAAAAATAAAATCTATCCCTCAGTAAGTTTTTTAAAGGTCACTAAAGTGCTATAGAAGTATTTTTAATGTTATTTTGAAACATTTAGACCAGTGTGCATTTTAATAAAACGTATGGTTAACAGTAATGTTTATTGTCAACTCAAAGGGATTTAGAATCACTTAGGAGACATATCTCAGGATTTGTCTGTGATATTGTTTGTGCAGAAGTCTAACTAAGGTAGGAAGGCCCACTATAGAATATATTAGTATTCTTCTGTAGGCTGGGATTCCTGACTGAATGAAAATGGTAAGCTCTAGGAGTCGTTGCTCTCTGCTTCCTATTGCTCTCACCTTTCTATGGGAAGAGGTAAAGGGTCCTTCTGCTGTTGCTTCTTCTCTGCCCTATCCCTGAAGCAAGAATTTATAAAATTCTTTATTACAGGTATTCAACAGGAAATACAGACTCATGAATACATGACAAGGTGGAAGCAGCTGCTGCATCCTGCCGTTTTGCCCAGGTGGAGATGTGAACAATTGCAAGGCTTGCTTCTGTTCAGACCTCCCAAGAGAGTGATAGAGACCCCTCCTCTTCCTTGTAAGAAATCACATCTGCACACAGAAGTCCTGCCTTAAAGCCGGTACCCCCAAACTACTGGTAGAATTCAATTCCCACAATACATCCCAGTCCTAAAACTATGATCTAGATTAAGCCTTCCTCTCTCTAGTACTCTTCCAGCATTTGGCCATAGCATTGAGAAAAAGTAAAGGGTGGATTTAAATGAATTCCATATACTTATTATTGTATTTTTTTCTACAAAATTAGGGAGCTCAATTGAGGAATTCCAAATATTTTAGAGATCATCTTTAGCCCTTCAAATTCTACACATAAATAAAATTCCAATTTCTCACAAAGTATGAGGAATAAATACCAGAGGGCAGTAAAAAAATGGAAGTGAGATTGATTTTGTGATCTGTTTATTCTGCTTATGTATAAATTGGAAAATAAATTGCTAGATTTAATATTATTTCTGAGACCAATATTTAGTTTCATGGATAAATCAACTCTTTTATTGGAGTAGGGAAGAGGTTTTATTTTCTCTTATTTACCGGAAGTGTGGATATCTGAAATGGTGGGGATGGAGTGGTTGTAAGAGCAGAGAGCCCAGAGATCCTTCTCAACTGTACACATGAAGCTGTGAGAGCAAGAGCTGGGAGTGGGGCAAGGCTGGAAGCCATCTTCAGTGATGTCCTTACTCCAGTAAGGCTGTGTCTCCAAAGCCCTCACCACTTCCCCAAGCAGCACTGCAAACCGGGGACCAAGCATTCAAATCTTGGACCTGTGGGGTCATTTCTTGTTTGCATCAGCATTCACTGGTATGAGGTGCAAGCTACTTCTTTCAGTGTATGAGACAGTGAGCATCTTCCAGTGTATAAGACACACATTCTCATAGACACAGTCATACATATAACACATCTATGTATAGTTTGAATTACATAATGCCAGGTATGACAATGCTCCCTCCAGAAACTGTTACCAAATAAATAGCCCAGCCCTAGTTGTTGAAGGCCTTTTCTTGAGTTGTTAATCAGGGGTGTCCAGTAACCCCCAAACAGTAT